CACTGCAGATGCAGTCTTCGATTTCTTGGCGACATTGTCTTGAAGAGAAGTATTATTTAGTATTCGTTCTTTTAAACCTTTGTTTTGAGCTGTTCAATCTGAAACAAACCTTTTTGTTTCATTAAAATGATAAAAATGCGTCTACTAGCTAATACGGAAGCTACCAATCATGCAAAGTAACAGACTCTACATCTATTCCAGTAAATTTCTTACATATTATTTAAAAGTACAGACATAACGAAAAACACACAAATGTTAGTTTCTATTTGACGGTCTCCCATCTTATTGTCCTCAAATAAGACCCTCTGAACGGTGCAACATTGAACTTACTTTGATATAATATTGTTGGTGAAGAGGATCTGAAGAAGTGGACCGTCGATGTTGACATCTCCCACTGTGATGCCGCTGTAAAGGCAGGTAGAAATGTGCTTCAGTTAGGTTTCGTTTTAGCTAAAGTAGACACAGTCAGCTTTACAATTAGAAGATTACCTCGGTCGTGTCAGGATGTTGAGCTTCCGTCTTAATACTTTATGTGAGCTAAACGTTAAAGAAATAGAGAGACACACGCAGCGAAAAACAATTGCATATTTTACAGCTCGAGAGCTTGCAGTCAGGGCTAGTGATAGCAAACATGCTACACTGACGCAAGGATATTCTCCTCAGAAAGCCTCTCGATATTATCTTCACACTCTTCCAGCCTGCTCCGGAGCTCGCTCGCCTCTTCGTTTTCTCCATCATCCTCTGTGAAGCGAATGTGTCTTGAGACCGGTGGAGCAGAGTCCTCCAGTTGCTGAAAAAGCTCACTGTCTCCGAAATCAACTTCGGCCATTTTTAGGCTTCCAGTGCTAAACGGAAGTTCAGTCATGAAACGAACGATTTTGTGCGTTCATTGGTTATCTCCCTGTCACGTGATCTGACTAGATTCGCTCATTTAATCCCACAGTCATGTATTTCAGGTTAATAGACGTCAAACAATGTGAAACAAGCTTGTTTTTCATCCATTAATAACATAAAGTCCAATTAAACGCTTAACATGATATAATTCAAGCACTTATGAAATATTTAAGAGATACAAAATTAGTTGAGAGGATTTAGTATATATGAGTGTGTGAGTGTTAAAGTATGTATATTGTATAATTATTTTTAAGGTTAGATGATATATAGGATAAAATGAATTTCTGAATTACATCTTCGTCCAGTTGATGGCGGTAATACACTAAGTATATAAACTGCCAGAAAACGCTATAGAAGAAGAAGAAGAACGCTTAAACTACACACAGTCCAAGTATCTTGAAGTAATGGTTGCTATGGCTATCAGAGCAAAGGGGTCTCTTGGTAAAAATGCATGCCACACTCTTCATAATTTTGTTTTAAAAATGTAACAAAAAAAAGTTGATTCATGTTTGTCTGCTGTACTGCTTGTAGTCTGATAGATTTTGCAGCTGTTAAAGTAAAATATTATCTTCCAGTTGGTGGCGGCAGTGCGTCAAAACATCTATTGCTAACCACCATTAAACAAGTAGAAGAAGAAAGAACAGACATTCCTGCCCACCCCCCAGGAAGAAGAAGAAGGTAAACATACAATTGATACGCCACATAATGCCAGCGTGAGAAAAACTATTTATTTGCTTGTAGTTATGTCAAGCTGTTCACCTGCCCCGTTAACTTTACCGCAGTGGGAAGGAGACTGTCGGAAAATTCGTTTTATTTATTTAGCGAATCCAACATCGTTCAGGTTGAGCAGCTGTCTGCAGGTAAAATATTCAGATCTGGTCGCGTAATTTGATTAAGATTTAGTTAAAGACAATATCTAAACTTTAAATTTGTGTTACAATTGTCAAACACACATTTTTCTATTAACTGCAGTCAAATAACATAATTCCGAGTTTCATCTCCTTTATGCCAGGATCCAGTAATTCCACTGTATTTAGGAGCTGATCTCCTGTCCAATACTGACATCCGGGTGGAAAACCATCCCAGGTACCATGCCAAGTTTGCCAAGAAAGGACTTGCCACTAAAGTACACTTTTCCTCAGGTAAAATGTACAACTGAACATATTAAAGTCCATTGAAAATCTCAACACCATGGCTATGGCAGTGTTGGCTATTATTATCTTACTTTTTTTTAAAACCTATTTTATTGTTTGTTTGTTTGTTTGTTGCAGCATTCAGATTCCAGGGATTGAGGGTTCCTGCTGCAAATAACAGCTTGTGGTTTTACAGCATTCAAGGACTTTTCCGCTTAGCCTTTGAAATATACAATAAGCAAGAGCAGCTTGCAGTGTTGGAGAATTTCCAGGTACAAATGCATGCACATTAACCTTATGATAGATTATTTTCTACAGTTCTGGTCATAATTTTACGTAAACTAAAAAGTGAGCCATTTCTTTGAAAATATCTGAGTATCTTTCACCAAATATCAGTTGGGATATAAGTATATAAGCATATATATTTAGAGAAAATCTGCAGTATCTTTAGATGTTAGTATTAAAATAATTAAAAGCCCAAAATTATATTTATTTCATGATAGGAGTATGTACATTTCTTACAAGATGTGTTTGTGTAGATTCTCAGTTGTTTTGGATGTGACACTCCTAGGGAAGTGGACTTCTCTTGTTTCCTGAAAACGTTTCATGTCTCAGCCGAAAGACTTCTTCAGGGTTGAAACATCTTCAAGAAACAAGAAGAGTGGCTTCTGTTTCATCTGACTCTTACTGGACATGTGTAATGTATAATTCAGATTGTCTTTTCGTCGCAGAATGTTTGGAAATCACAGATGAACGAAAGCCCACTGGAAATGAATTACAGCCTCAATGTGCAGCTTGACATTCCAGCGTCTCCAAGCGTGGCTGACAGAGATTTGGAAATACCTGGACACGATTTTAGCCAGATCGACGGGAACGTCATGCATGCATCTGCTGAAGACGCAGCTGATACAGCAGCAGATCACGATTATTGTACTTTCACCAAACAAAGCTGCCAAACTGAGCAGATCCATCCCGCTGTAGCCGCTCTCAGAGAAAAACTCCACCACTTGGACGACCAACTCCGCTCTCCCCCTCAAGGCCGCACAGATCGCCTGGAAACAATGTTGCTGCTCTTAGAGAACATTGATCGATGCATGAATGGGAGCCTAGATGAAAAGGATGCAACTGAAGCTGCGTTAGCACTGCTGAACGCTGAAGACTGGGCTAAAGACTCTGTGTATTCGAGTTACATGCTTACTTGTATAGGACGGTGGATCGGGCAGCAGTTTCATGCAGCCAACAGCAGCATCAGCCAGAAAGTGGAGAGTTTCAAAGTTCAGCACATCGAACAGATCAGTGATTTGCCACCAGCAGAGGAGCTGGCTGCAGAACTGTTTCCAGAGGCTATGCAGACTCTGCTGCTGCACTGGATGGGCTTGTGTGATGAGTCGACTGAAGGAAAGAGACGCAGCGAATATCCAATCCTGCTCCTTATTCTGGAGTTTGCGAACCATAACCTCATTACCGGTGTCGCTCACGTGCTCTACTCAACTCTTATATGTAAATGAGAGAGGATTTCCATAGAGCTACCAACATAATACCTGCACAACTCTTATAGATGACATGTTTGTGTGAAGCACTTCTGTCCAAAGGATAAATCATTTCCAGTCCTAAATTTGTGGGATCATTGTAGGTTATAGTTTGGTTTATAAACTGTCTATGAAAACACTTCATTCATAGAAATACTTTACTGTTTATAATATAACTTGATTTTGGCAAAGCATAAGTTGCACCTGTATGGTCTTGTTTTTTTTGTGGTAATTTTGCATCAAAGAATAGGAAGTAGTTTTTCCAAGTCCCAGAGTTTTGCATTAGCCTACAATTGTCCTCAAACTCTGCTTTTCTTGAACACTTATCCTAATATTGTGCGCAATATTAGGAGAATGTGGAATATGTTATTGCACTGACTTAAATAAACAAATACTCAACTAAACCATATTCATTTCTTTCTGCATTGGATTAATTGTAAACATAGTCCACAAAAAGTGAGTAATCTGTGCTGCTCCTGCTTAAAAGAAAGAAAAAAAAAACTGCATCTGGTTACATCTGCTGTTTTGGCAAAGAATGAAAACAGTGTTTTGTTTTTCTCAAGTGGTTCTAAAACATTTTATAATGAATTGAACCCTGAATCCATGGTACTTTATTCAACAACACAGTTGATGTAAATGGTCTTTATTTTATATAACTCTATCAAGTCCAGAAGACTCCAAAGTGCTTCACACACTACATTCATTCACACACTGATGGTGGCAGGCTACTGGAATGCAGCCAGTTATTCCGGTTCTGCTTTTCTTTGGGATATTATCTGGGTTGTCTAGTAGTTAGTAACTTTTTGGATAAAAGAAAGTAGCTTTACTGTACCTACTTTTTACTTCTACTTGACTGATGTTAGTTTGAAGTACAACTTAAGTTACCTCACTCATTGAAAAACAAACCTGTTCATAAACGTGCTCATATATCAATGACCATCAATCCCCCCCCCCCCCAAGACATATTAATGTAGCAGAATCTGCTGTTGGGTCATCAAATATAAAATAGAGGCTCAGAACTGTTCAGCGCCTCAAAGGACAATTTAACATTCACCCATGACAACGTAACTTTTTCAATGCCACATTATCAACTGAATGTGGTTTTGTAGGACACAAAGTGATGCATGAAACCCTTTTCCAACACAAAATTTATTATATGAATGAGTGAAACATTTCAAACTCATTTCTATCCAAAGCAGTCCAGGAGACAAGTGTTTATAACAACCCATGATTGATTTCCCCCAATGAGAAGTGAAGACGGGGGAGTCCTACGATGCTACCGTGTCCTTTGCTAAATGAATGTAAACAGCGTCAACTTAAACCACATCGTACTCCGACAACCACACATCAATATATTTGTTTTTTATAAAAAAGAATCACATTATTAAAAGGAAATATCTACTTCTCCTCCGCATCCACCAGTCAAGATAATTCCTCCTTTTTCCCCGCAGACGGAAAGATTAATAAACGCCAAGACAAACTCAGCGTCTCACTATATACACGTTACAATTTACGAGGCTTTTGTCTATAAATAATATACAGATTCAGAGCAACATCCATGCAAGCTCGAGGGCTGGCAATGAATTATGTGATGAGATGAGGACGAGTGCCGAGGTTTGGCACTAGATTGAATCCATCCCACGAGAGAAAGAGGAGGAAAAGCCGAGTCCCATTCCTCTCTGGGTGTGAGTCTGAGATCGAGCCATCTCGTACTGAACGTCGAGGTTCTTGAACATCTCCTCTTGTTTCTGAAGAGTCTTTAAGCCTTCATCGTTGAGTTGTTTGGTAGCTTCTGCATCATCCTCACCCTGCAAACACATGAAATATCCTTTTTACTCTAAATTTAAAACTCAAAAAGTGGTTTAAAATGTGAAAGAAAGTAAGAGGTTTACCTTAATGCCCATTAGCTTACGAAATTTAACATTCTGGTCCTTGTTTCCAAAGTTCAGTTTCTCCCACAACTCAGCAGTTTGTGACTTTTCCTAAGAAAGCACAAAATCAAAATATAAAAATCTCTTGGTAAACAATCGTCAAATATATTCACAAGTTTCCAGAAAAACAAACGTACCCCGTCCTTCTTCCCCTGCCATAGCATTTTCCTCTTTTTCTCCTGTTCTGCAAACTTCATGGGGTTGACAGCAGACGGGTTGTAGTAACTGGGCACAGCAATGCCAGTCTCTGCAAGGGTTTTGGCTTGAAGCGCTGCCATCTGTGCAGCCATGGCGATCTGAGGGGTGACCTGCGTCCCAGAGGCCAGAAGGGCGGCCACGTTCAGGGCAGGGTTCGAGGTGGCCGCCGCAGCAGCGGCTGCAATTGGGGCGGCCACAGCTGAGGACAGAATGATGAGCGTTAGCACCAGAACCTGACCAGAAAGATCAACATTGTAATAATACATCACCTGCAGCCATTTCCTGCTGTTGCTGCTGCTGTTTCTCCAACATTTCTTTCTCTTTCTGCTCCTGTAGTTTCTTGGCTCTCTCTAGTCTGGAAGAAAAAATAAAAAAAACATTGACCTCTGCAGCCTCAGAACAAATTCTTGTGAATTTACATCCAATTTACAAAAACTATCCTTTACCTTCTGGCTAAAGCCTCTTGTGCGTCCATCGCTGTGTTTCGCCCACGGAAGACCAGAGGACTAATAGACCTGCTTAGACTCTTTCTGTGCACTTTCTCGACCCTCTTCTTTCGCTCCCTGAAGCAGTGATCAATGGAAAATGAGGATGAATAGTTTGGGTACCCCCACTTTCCTGCCCAAACGATTTGATTTTATGACACTCGCCTGCTTTTGCTACGACTTCTGCTGTGGTGACGATGTTTGGTTCTGGAACCTGAACGAGACCGAGCTTTCTTCTTCCTGTCCCGGCTGCGTGATCTTGACCGCCGCTGATCCCTGCTTCTGCTGTGATGCCGTCTGTAGTAAAGAATAAAAATAAACAAATTACTGTAAAGAAATCGTAAACAAACAAAAATCCAAGAGATTACACAAATACAGCCATAATTTTATTAGAGCTGCAACAATCCTTTATTTTATTCATTACTTTGTTGACTACTCGATTAACTGGATAGGTTACTTTAAACCTAAATCTGAATATATATGAAAAGAGTTGCTTACTTGTCAGTCGGACTAACCTCTCTTTTGAGTGTGACCTGGACAAGCTCCGCCCCCTCGAAGACTTCCTTTCCTTCCGCCTGGACCGGTCTTCTCCGTTCTCTGCTGGATGTCTCTCAGGCTCTTGATGATCGTCTGATTTTCTGTGAGATTTTGATGGCTTCTCTGAATCCCTTTTTCGTGCCTGTTTTAAGAAGAAGTTGTCTCTTTCAGGAAAATAGTGCAACAAAAAGAGTTAGTACCATGGCTTAGAGCAGAGAGTTTGTAAAAAAAAAAAAAAAAATCTGACAAGACGAATTGACCTTGTCATTTCGAAACCCATCTTTAAGAAACAACAACATAATTCTCAGATCATGACTGTATTATAAGTGGGTATTTCTGAGTATGCACTGTTTTGGCTGTGCTGTTAAGGAGACCAAAGTATAGCAACAGTAACAAATGAAGCCAGCATTTCTGGAACTTTCTGCTAGATTTAATGATGTGCATGCAAATGTTAAATTCTGACTATCAAGGCAGAAACTTCGAAGTAGTGTTAAAAATTCATTAACAATTCAATGAAACTTAAACACTCTGAATTGGACCAACTTAGAGGTTAAAATAGGGATGAGCATCTAACTGGTTTTTTCTTTAAGTATAAAGCATTTTGAGATTCAGTGAATGCCCATTCCTAGCTGCAAGAGATGACAGAGTTAATGCCACTTTTTCTACAAACATTGTGAGACAAATAGGAGTTTGAATGGCAGATAGTTACCTGTCCCAGTAGTAGGCATATTATTTTGCTATGTCAGCAGGGTCCTCTGTTCAGTCTCTTCGTGCATTAGCACGCTGAGTATGATTTATTGTAGAAATGTTATCATGTGATCTCCACACAGGATTTAACAAAAATAAAAGGAAAAAAAAAGCTATTTTTCACCAATTTATGTTTACAATAATCACAGATATCCAAGGACACAAGCTTCCTGCGATACATGTGAGCATTAAGAGGGCAAAGAAATATCCTTTTGACATGAGCCTGTAGTCCTTTTTTTTTTTCTTTGTTCTGAGCTTTTCTATCATAAAAATGTCGAACTTAGGCACCAAATACTCACCATGACCGAAAACTAGCAACTATGGTGCTTTACAATCAAATTAAAAATGTTTTTCATTAAATTAAATGAATATATTAATTACCTCTTTGCTCCTGCTCCGACTTCGTCTGTATTTTCTGTCACCTAGAAAAGACAGAACGCAGTTTTCCCAACTGATCAGAACATAAGTTATGGAACCCATTTGGCAACAATTGCATAACAATCCCACATACAAAAAGGCTCTGAGGGGAATAGACAACTGACAGTATGTAACATGCTTACATAACAATATATTTTAAGTAACTTTAGGCATTTCAAAAACTCTACTGGTAATATTTTGGAATCTAATGGCCAGCTGTGTAAAACCTTTCTAGTAGAGACCATGCACCTTTTCTAAGCACTTACGTTTTCGGTCCCTGGAACGCGACCTTGACCGTGAATGGTGGTGTTTGGAGAATCGGGGAGACCTAGAAGATTCCATGCTGTGCTTTCTTCTGTGATGAACTGGAGAACTCGATCTGTTCAACTCTGCAGAGTCGTCGCTTGCCTGAAACAAATGGGTTGATAAGTAAAACCAGCAGCAGATCAATCTATTTACATAGAATAGACTACAGAGTAATACAATAGCCTAAAGTGCTGACAGAACAGAAATAATGGCAGTATCGTAAATATTAAAGGGTTTACTTTGCTCTTATCACTCTCTTTATTTTACTTGAGTTTTTCATCATGATCAGCTCCTGTGATATTTTCAATATATTTAATAAATTTAACTACGCCCTCTTCACTGTCTCTCGCTAAATCTCAAAATTTCAGTCTACTAACTCATCTGCCGAATAAACATCGGCCAGATTCCACCAAAAATGGAAAATATTGGAACCATCAATTTTAACTCGTATTTAATTTTTTTAGATTAAGATTTGGACTTGACATAGTGATTTATTTAAAAAAAGAACACATGCTGGAAACAACTTTATTTTCATGCAGTTGATTCTCCGTTTCTGTTTGTTTAATTGAATAACAACAGCATTACAAGGGCCGTTAATAATTACTATATTAACCAAAAAACGCAGAATATTTAACACATTATTGAAATAAAACTTTTTTAAAAGTTTGGGCCACATCCTATCACACTTTTCCATCTGAATTTAGTAACATAACTCCAAACTTTCAGCCATTAACATTTCTTAAAGATTTAACTTTCAGGCTGCATACACAGTCTTAGTACCAATTTAGAGTTTTTTGCGGTGCCCTTTTGTATGAATTAATTTGTTTAGACAAACAATAACTTAAAAGAAACTGTCAACACACCTATTTAATGACTGACAAATGTCATTAAATTTAGTCCAATATCACACATTCACTAAAAATAAGTCTCATTATCTCAAAACACACATTATGAACATATTACAGGTACTAAGCCTGTTCGAGCTAGCGGTACAGTGCGTATTTATTTAGACCTGAATGGCGTTTTATTAGGCTAACTTTACAGTTACAGCCAGAGCAATAACATATTAAAGTGCACGAAAGCTGTACATTTTAGCGTGTGTTAATTGGCTGGTTCATTTAGTTTCAAAGCCGTAATTTGGGAAAGGGAATTTAAATATGTGCTAACAGCTAATATTGTTTTTCTATAGCCAGTAGCCATGATGTCGCTAGGCTAACAACCATTGACCGTCGCCATCTTTAAGAAAAAAAAATCTGCACCACATAGTACATTTTTACCAATATTTTTGCTAAAACCGCTTATGTTGAGCACATATTATTGTAGTTGACCTATTAGTACTTACCGACATAATCCGGGATCACCAATTTATATGGAATAAATCCGTTTTGAAGCGGTTCAACGCAAAACGGGAGAGGACTTTACTTCAGGCAGGTCGATGTGTTCCTCAGCTAGCTACTGTGCTAAGGTTGCCAGTTTCTACCGTAAATATGCTTTCATTGCACTAAGATCGTCAGTGTTGTTAAATAATGCATAGAAACGGGATCATTAGAAATGTTTTAAACATATGTTTCAAAGTAATATGAATATAAATATAATGGGTATTTATTCCATTGACGAAACAAATAAAATAAGTCCTTTAAAAACCGCTGAACAGGTTTTTGCATTTGAGCACTAGTGCCCTTTGACAGCAGTGTTTTGACATAATACGTCTAATTAATTTTTATAATGCTGTTGCATGTCAAAATAAACTGATTTGATAGAGAATGAAAAAGCATTGGATGTAATGAAAAAGTTACTTTTGTAAATATAACTATGTAAATCAAACCTGGCAACGCGGAATGGGCGCAATTGCTTTTTACCCTTCAATGATTTAAACAGGCTCAAATAAGCCTTCACATTAGTTGTATTTTTAAACGAATTCCCTTTGATATATTGAAATGTATACATTAAACAAATTCAAAATTAAAGTGTGTGTCGTTGTGTGGACAATGAACGTATATCATTATTAAATAAGCATTGCTTTTCGTGAGCTGTTTGAGAAGATGCACCTGGAAGACAAAACGCAGGGTCAAAAACCAAAGTGACTCCTAACGACTATACAACGACCCGCCAAATTCTAAAGCTAATGTTGTGGACTCGCATATTTTAGTCCTAGAAATAACACGTACAGCGATCATTCGCCGTTAACGTCTACATATCCCATCGGATAGAAGACGACAGCTTTGATATGAACGCCTGCTCTTAATTGGTTTCAAAGTTTATCGCTGAGGTTTGTTTTATCGTCAGGGTAGCGTCAACATTCACTTGGATTAGTAGAGGGTCAACTAGTGTACGGAACATTTCGAGACACATATTTATCTGTTTTTCATATTTTGTCTTAGTTTTAAGAAATGGCGACGTGGAGTGACGTTGAGCTCCTGACCAACGAGGACACAAACACAGTCCGCCTGGACAGTGTGTCAGGAGAGGAACATGGAAGCGGCTTGTATCAGGTTGACACTTTGGTCAAAATCTCCTCCTTCGATAAGGTAATTAGTGCAAATGTTTGCATTACAAGAACTTGGTCATGATTTCTTGAAGTCCTTGTGCTTTGTTTATTCCTAATACACTTTTGACCAGGGGCGTAGCTAAGATTTTTGCTTCCCATCAAGAAGGGTTCCACTCATCCTAAACTGGATTTACGATTTGCTTTATTCATTTAATTTATTATTTGCAATTTTTGGAAGCTCTAAATATAAATCATATTAATCTTAATGAGGTTTTTAAGTCTTTAGTTGAACTGCCAAAACTCTGACTCTTCTACATTGCAGCCTGCCATTGTTTTGAGATGAGTTATTAGGAATGCTTTTTGCAGGTTCCTGCAGACCCCCAGCTTTTCTCCTTTGGTTCTTCCAATTGGAGTATTGTTGTCATTGACAAGACGGTGATTCTATTTGATCAGAACTATCAGACCATTCTTCTCCTTCTCCACTTTGGTAAATGATTACTTGTTTTCTTTTACCAGATCAGTTGGCAAAAATTATTGTTGTTCACTTTCTGTTGAATTTAAAGTTAAATAACTGTTTCACCGCATTTGGTGTTAAGACCTTAAAAGGCAAAATGTCCAAATCAAAATGAGTAGGTCAGAACTCAAAGAAAACTATAAAGCCTGTCTATAATTTGTTTTGTTTTTTTTAGAAACGGATGTGGATACCATTGATGTTTGCCTTGATGGACGATTTTTGGTGGTCTGTGAAAGAAATGGAAACCTTCATTTGATCTATGTTCCACACAAAAGAATCCTCTTTACCAGAGTAAGGGAGATTGTTTTTCTAATGTGGTCATTGAGTTAGAACATATTATTTGTAATGGATTTACATTAAATATCACCATCTAATTTGAAAACGACATTTTTGTTTTTATATTTCTTCCTCAGAGGAACAACTAGAATCTGTCTTTTTTTTTGTCTCTCTCCTCTCAGTTTTTCTTTCTATGTTTCATCTCTGTGCTGCCTTGTGTTTGAAATTTGCAGGCTTTGGTTCAAAAACCATCCAGTGAAGACAAGAAAACCTACCGCTATCTCATCCTAAATGAGGACCAGTCATCTTCTGGTAAAGTTTTTATACTATTTAGAGCAGAATCTCTAATAGACATTGTGTATTTCTTGTAATTTAGTGAATATTTTGGCACAAAGTGAAGTGATATATATATATATATATATATATATATATTTTTTTTTTTTTACTAGAAATCTCAAATCTTGTTTCTTGTGACAGGGATGTACCATGTCTTTCTTCTTATTAAGGATGGGTTTTTCCACATTTCAAACCTCGCTTTGACAAAGATCGAGACAGGTATTGAATATTTATGTTGGATTTTATGCAGTACTTATTTGGAGCCACTCTTTAAACACAGTAAACTATATTTTACCCTTTTACTATGCAAGCATGTGAAAATATGGACGTGGGAGCTTTGAAAGAGGTGAGCTAAGGCCCTTTTTCTCCATTACGCGACAGGATAATTAACAAAACCCCAAACAACTTTAAATGACACATAAGTAACAATCTCTCTTTCCCATATTCAGCTCCAGAGTCTCATCAGGGTAGACTTTTGCTCTACTGAAGATTACCATGATGAGGGCTGCAGTACAGCAGTGATCTTCAGTCTTGGCCTTGAAATCAATCTAATTATTGGGGTCAGTGTGCAAAAGAAGTGTTTGATTTACTCACTGTATCTGTGTATTATCATTGGATTCATGCAAATAGAAGCAAAGTGAAATCTTTGAAAGTAAATCAAAAATTTACTGTCATGTCAAAACTTGGCAGGGGGACAAAGAAAATATTGTGACTCACTGGAAGATGGATCCTGTTCAGGCAAAGATGTGTTTTGCTCAGTCCATCAACAACAGCCTAATTCCTGGTAAGGTGATTGTTTTGCAGAATCATGGTTTTTATTATAAAAGTTTTAAATTGTAGGCAAGTCAGTGCAATGCCTTGAAAAAGATGACTCTACAAATATTGACTACCAGGGACTAAACACCAGTTCATTCTCCTGCTTCTCAATGATGCACCATAATGTATTTATCTGAACTATAAGTGCACACAAAAATATGCTGAAGTTTACGCTTAGAAAGTATGAAAAAGTTCAGTTTATGAATAAGTTTGCAAGTTTGCAGTGTGTGGTCTGTCAACGTGTGCAGAATGCTTCATACGCTTAAAAAAAAAAGAAACTGCATTGAAGCTAGCTAAACTATCTAACAGAAATGTCTGACACACAAGTAGAGGTGGAATGGTAATGAGCTTCTTGTTCTTACCTTGCGTCTTATTTTTACAGGTGTGAGAAAGCTGGTAGTGATGGAAAATCTGTTGTATATTTTGGACTCCGAGGTGAGTTCGATGTTTTAGGGTCTTTAAGATTTGCTTTGCAGGCGGCAGATTGAATGTTTTACATTTGTGTTGTAAATTTGCATCAGGATGTTCTGAGCGTTTGGGACCTGCATTTTCTTGTCATGATCCGCTGCTGGCCAGAGCTGGCCATTCACGACTTTGAACTAACCACGGAGTGTGGCTCTGCCTCCATGGTGATGTAAGTATGAGTCTGCCGTAATAAAGTCGTGCAACTCTCTCTACACATAGAGATGTGTCTCTGAAGTCCAACTTATTGTTTGCGCGCATAACCTTGGCCAGTGTAGCAAATATAAACCTGAATCTTTACGCCAAGCTGAATGTTTTCTGTTGCTGGTTGCAGCCAAGACAAGAGCAGCATGAAGATGATTACTCTGACGAAGCAAGACAGCAGTCAGGTGGCTGCACAGTTCCCTCTGAACAAACTCGGAAAGCCAATTACCGACTGCTTTTCTGAAGATCTACTGCTTTTTTACTTTTCAGATCAGCTCCCTTCAAATCAGATGTCTGCCCTCCATGAGTGTCTGCTACTCTCTTGACGTCTCCTCGGTCTCCTGTCTTGTCCAGATGAAAACAAACATGGTGAGCAAGTCGAACCTTTTTCAGGCATAACATAAGAGTACGCTGTACAATATCTACCAACATTACAATGAATTTTGTTTCCATTTAGGATACAATTTATTTGGTCGAGGGGATTTGTGAGAACCCGGAAAGGTGAGACGCTGTGTGTTATTTTCAAAAAAATGTCAGCCGTCGCTTGCATGTTTTTACAATGAAGTTTTATTTTTCTTAAATTCTCTCCGCACGTAGCCGAGGAGAGGCTGTGGTATCTGTTGTTGTCAGATGTTTCACTGAGGCTTTACCCGAGAACAGGTACCCAAGTATGATCTGATGGATTTCTGGGTGGACTGTGTGTCGTAACCCACAAGACTAATATTAGATCCGTGTTTTCCTTCCCTGTTTCTAGGCTGAGCAGGCTTCTGCACAAACACATGTTTGAGGAGGCCGAAAAGTTTGCGATTACATTTGATCTTGATTTGGAGGTAAATGCATGTGTTTTGTAAATGAAAGTAACGTAACAGCATTTCTGGTGTTGCGTTACATACAGCAGAAATGCTCCTCCAAACTCTAGAGTTTCTCTGGAGCTTGAGGGGACGAGTCTGGAAGATATATTTCAAATATCTTGAAACATGTTTCAAGATATTGAAGAAATATACATACGGTTGACTGTTGCTTGTAATTATTATTTTTTTCCTTTCTTTGTTCAGTGGGAGTATTAGTAAAAGTACATTTATTTAAAAATATGAATATATATGGAGATATGTGGGGTTTTTTTAGTCTTACAAATGCAGTACTTAAAGTACTAGTGCCCTGTTCAATAATGAGTGAGTTTTATTCTTTAGAGTAAGTATCTGTGTTTAAGGTACTTTTGCTAAATTCATTCAGGTTCTCATTGTTTTTTTTTTGTTTGTTTGTTTGTTGTTGTTGTTTTTTTTTTTTTTTGAGACTTTTTTTTTATCGTGAACACTATAATTGCAACAATATGTAATGATTAAAATTTCAAGT